GAACACGCCCAGTAGCCAGCAAGGAGCCAAGATGGCCAGTAACATCCTTCGAGACATCGAAGTCATAGACAACGCACCCCTGGGAAAGGACGGCGAGGCCACCCCACTCAACTCTGCGGACACCGTTGACGTCCGCCGTGATGGGCAGGAGGGGACCAGGGGTGAGCTGGCGGTTGGCCTCATGGGCTCGAAAGCGGGCAGTGCGAATGTTGTCCGTCGAAAGGCGGGCCTCCTGCAGCAGAAGAACATCGGCAGAGCAGCCAAGCAAATCCGGGTGCGCCAAAAAGGAACCGACGTTGTGCGAATGAAATGTGAGAGGCCCTTCGCCAGGAAAGCCAAGGGTAGCGTCAAAGCAAAACTGAGTAAAGAGAGTGGGAGCTGCCCAGCCGAGGAGCAAGAGACAGCAACCATAGCACAAAGAGACCAGATGGACAGTGCGGCCCCACCGCAAGTGCCCACAAGTAACGACACTGCTGCGCCACAGCATAAAAAGCCAAAGGGGGGAAAGACCACACAGAGCCCCGTAACCATGGCGAGACCATGGGGCATAAGGGCAAAGGAGGAGAGCTCCCCTTTGAAAGAACCAGGTGCACAGGCCCCCCGGGCGAGGGGGGGGCTGTGAAGAACCAACGGGGCCGTAGGGGCCCCAAAGCAGGGTCGGGCTAGGCGCCCAGTCGGGCGGCCTTGAAGGCAGGGGCCGGCTCAGGAGAGCAGGCGCGGCCGGGCTTGGAGACGGCTCCCAGGATGCGAGAGAGCTGCGCAGAGACCTGCGAGAACTGGGTCTCAACCTTATCAGCAAGGGAGTCCTGCTTGGCTTCCAGACCACCAAGTCGCGCCTCCAGGGCATCAACACGTGCCTGGATTGGTCCCGCCAACGGGGTCTCAGCCTTCGGTGGTGTAGAGGTGGCAGCCGAGATCTGAATGTCCGCAAGGGCAGTGCGGCTTGGGCGTTGCCTGGGTCCAGTAGGCCGGCCAGTCTTGGCTCGAGAGGAGGCAGGTGGCTCCAAGGCAAGGAGTACCTCACAGGGACGGCCCGCAGAGAGCAGGGGGAACTCCAACAAGGGCGGATCCTGTCCGAAAGCAAGGACCCAGACCAAGATGCCGTTCCTCCGAAAAGAACGGAGGGGTATGCAGGGAACCCCGACAGCCTTGAGGACAGCCTCAGAGATGGCACCAGGTGTGGCCCCAAAGGGCAGGCCCTCGGCAAGGTAGTTGACTCTGGGGACCAAGGCTCGGTTGGCCTCACAGAAGCGGGGGTCATCCTGCAGGAGGGCCCGACGGGCAACCGCAAGGTGAGCGTTGAGGATGCGCACCACTAGGCCACGCTTCAACGGAGCAAGACCAGCAAAGCCCTCAAGGGCGCGGGTGACCGCAAGAGCAGAGCGAGTACCATCAGGGGTGAGCGGCCAGAACCTGTGCACAATGGAGTGATCAAGGGGGTCGCTGCCTCGTGCCAGGAAATCACGGACAAAGTAGGAACTGGTGCCGGAGAGCCGCAAACAAGCAAGGCGAAGCCGGAGTGGGACTTTCAGGGTGATCTGAAAGACTCGGCCGAGGCCATGCGGAGAGCCCTGCAGGATTCTGAGGGCGTAGCAGGACTGCAAAGCACCGTCAGGGAGGAAGCCTTCGAGCAGGCCGCGAAGGTCCGACATGGAGCGCCCGACGTAAGCCGGGAAATCAGCGGCAAGTTTCTCGAAGACCTCAACAACAAGTTCAACAAAATCATCCGTGTCGATGATGACCGCATCGGCAGTGACAGGCCGGTAGACGATACCGGGAATGAGATGGACAAGGAGGACCTGGCGCTTGTAAGTGGTCCCGGCCTGAGCATCCAGAACACTGATTTGCATGGGCCCTTCAACCGCGAGGTGGGAAGGCAGGGAAGGCAGAGTGGTTCTAGAATTGCCGGGGACGATGAGGGCAGTGGGGCCAACAACCTGCAAGCGAAGGCTTTCAGCGAGGACACTGACAGGGCAGAAGGCCAGGCCAGAAACCAGCGGTCCAAGTTGGCCCCGGGGGACCAGAGCTGGGATATCATCATCTCCAACGAGCCCAAAGGCATGGGAGGGGGGAAGCGAGAGGTCCTCCCATTTGGCATGGGGCCGGGGTTCCTGTCGAGTGGAGAACCGCATAGGGCCAGGGAGGCCCGGGGGAGGCCCACGGGTCGCATCGAGCCAGAGGGTCCTCAGGGACCATCTCTTCATCCTCCGAAGGTGGCTCAGAAAGAGCAGGAGAGCGTGAGCCAGCTCCGCCTCCAGGCAAGGGAAACAGGCGCAAGGTGACATGAGCGTCTTGCCAGCGGCTGACAGGGTCTGTGTCAGGGACCCCCGTCCCTGGACGTAGGGTCGCACGTGCATGAGAAGGCGGTCAGGCAGGGGGAGTGTCCAAATGACTTGCCTGAGAGTGACGTGTTGTGGGACACTCCTGGAGTGTTCCCTCCGTAGTGGGTCATGGAAATTGAAATGGACCGTGACCTGGGGAGGGAACATTGGGACCGGAGTAGGCTGTGGTTCCAACTCCTCAGGTTCCTGTGCGGGACAACGGTGAGGATGTGACCCGTGAGGTCATGGGCAGGCTCACGAAGATCCCAGACTCTGGCAAAGGAAGAGAGAGCCGCATGGGGAAAGACCACAGGTGGCACGCGAGCAGTGAAGAGGACCAGAGCAACAGTGGCACCCACAGGATAAGTGACCTCGACCCGAAATCCGCCCGGTGAGTAGATGGCGGTGCGGGCAATGCCCAAACGGTAGGCGAAGTAAAGGAGGGGGTAAGCCTCCTCCCGGACCACAATGGGCGGCCCCTGGAGGTTAGCCCTTTGAGCAACCTGTGGGTGGAGGGCGAAGTCCAACAGGGGCCCCAGTGGGCCGATGTCTGACAAGGGCAGCATGGAGTTGTGGACCCCACATGCGACTCCTCCAAACCTGCAGCACCAGGGGTTCGGGCTCGTGCGGCACAAGCCCAAAGAGGCGCAACATGATGGCCCAAGGGATGGCAGCTTGAGGGACCGAAATAGAGTTGCCAAGACCAGCAAACACATCCTCCAAGGGTGGAAGGAGCACAAGTGGGCGAGTGGCCCCCAGCCATAATGCCCACTGGGCAGGTGAGAGGAAGGCAGGCCGCTCATCAAGGTAAGTGAGCTGGGCAAACAGCCCCCGGTCGGCAAGTGTGTCTGCGGCCAGCAGATGCTGTTGGCTGTACCTGGCACAAAGGGTACGCAAAGGAGTGTCGGGGGAAGGGATGCGACTCAGGAGGACATCACGCGAGCTCTCAAGTCCTGCCCCTGCAAGATATGCAGGATTAGTGTAGTACGGCAGGGTGGCAGCATCAAGGAGACGAGCGTGGTCGATCTCAGGGGCTTCCTGAACCTGGAAGGACTCATGCGTCCAAGGGACCGGAGAGGGGTCCTGGAAGAGCCCAGCAGGCTGGGAGGGCGGCACATCAACGTCATGACGGATCAACAGCAAGCCATCGGCGACGAGTGCAGGGACCGAACACAGCATGGTTGTGGAGCATGGTGGTATGCACAGTGAATCCAGCCCATCGGATGAAGGCCAGGATGATGGGGTAGTGAGGGTGAACAGGGAGAGCATCCACACACTCCATCAACAGTGCCAAAGGAGCAGCACGCCGGGCCCACAACATGGTCTCCAGGAAGCACACTCCTGCGGGAACCTCCAGGCCATCCAGTGAGGAGGCACGAGACCACGGGGGACACGGGGGAGAGGCAGTGGCCACGTGGCAACCAGTCCAGGGGACGACATGGAGAAGCGACGTGTCGCCAACGTCGGCCAGGACCGCCACATGCGCAGGGGTGGGAACCCAGCTAGACATCCGTTGCAACTGCACAGCCTCAATGTCTAAGGTGGCCGCCTGGGCTGAAACCACTATTGGGGAGTTGTCCACCAGGACCTCATGGGCGACCTCAAGACCGAGGGACCTGCAAATGCACTCAAGGGCCTGACCCCAACCATGAAAAGCGCCAGCAAAGAGATGGGTGACCGAGAGCGGTTCAGCCGGCATGGGGTCCCCGATCCTCCATACGGTCGTATCCTCCTCAACCCGTGCCACACGGGGGAGGGTGCCAGGTTGCAAGGTGACCCCAAAGGCACGAAAGTGCTGCTCACCCGGCTGCAACAGGGCCTGAAAGAAGCTAGGAGCCCGGAGCTCAAACGTGAAAAGGAGGCGCCGAGCACGTGGGGTAGCATGCAAATCCGGCGGCAGGCCGGGAGAGAAGAGTGAACACTCCCAGGAGGAATCACCAGTTTGGGCATCGACCCGGAATTGGAGCAGGGCCTGCCCATGCCACATGAGAGGCTCGGCACTCTGGAAGAAGGTGCCCTGTTCGATCAGGCCATCGAGGGAGCCAAGGGCGCGGTCCGACAAGGAGCCCAGAGCACGCAAGACAAGAGGGTCACGCGTCAACATGGCAAGGAGCCAACAGCCACCAGCAGAAGCCCAAGCACGCACAAGAGCCAGGAAGGCAAAGGGCAGGAGCAGCAGGGTGGCGGCCACAGGAGCAAAGGCGGGGCGGTGGAGATGGGTATCCACCTTAGTAGACGCGTGACGCTCCAGGGAGGAGTCGCCACGCCCCGGGTGCCCAGAACCCTGAGGCGAAAGACCTTGGAGCCAGACGCCTAATAAGGGTACCCTTTTTTCTGTAGTCTATCTTAGTAGGGGAACCCCTCCCCAAAAAAAAGGTAAAAGGGCACTATGGGGGACCTAGATGGGACAAGGGTTGGTTGAGAAGTGGGGACAATGTGTCTAAATGAGAGCTGCCCCTAAAGCAACCTGAATCCGACCTAAACCGCTCTCATATGGCTACGTAGCAAATTGCTCCCATGCAGGCTGGGAAACCGCGAAACAAATATAGGGCTCTAACTTGAAAATGCTATTTTGCATGGGTTTTTGATGGCTGTTGTTCTGCACCATTTGGATTCGAAGACGATGTTTTGGGGTGGGACGCTTCATGTGTGCCGTGTGCCGTCGTCGGGTCCCCGGGCCGCGCTCGAGGGCTATTTCTGTGAGGAGGTTGGGCACCAGGATGACGATCTCCGCCAGGCAAATGCAGGTCAAGAAGAGCCTGGACAGATTTTGCCGGAAGCTTTTCTGGGTTGAAACGGACCATGAAAGGTGGACCAGCGATATGTCTGTCGATATAAAAGGTACCCTTTTTTGTGACTTAGACTTAGACACACCCATACGGGTGCAAGTTTTAACTGGGGGCTCTTTGGTAGACAGAATTCGGCCGGGAGTTGTGTCAACCAACCACTTTTGAGCAGCTCGCTATTAAAAAAGTCACACAGTAACCACGTATGAACCAACAGCAGCGCTCTCTTTAAATAACATCTGACGCACGGTTCAAAGTAAAACATGTGCGGGCATAGTTTTGGGCCCGCCTGTCTGGGGGGCAGAGAAATGCCCTTATCCAGCAGTTTGGTTCCTGGTACCTCGCTACCCTCTCACAAAGGACCCTTTTTCGGGCCCCCCGAAAACAAAAAAGACAATCACCTTTTGTGACCTGAAAATCTTGACTCACCTGCGCTCGAATCGATCGGATGGATTGGCTCGCCTCACAAAGTGCCCGTTCCGCGCCAAGCGCGCTGAGTCGGAGACGGCCCTGACAGTTCGATTTCCGTTTCGCCGCGCTGAAGCCTGATGAGCCAAGGTTCGGCGCCTGTAGATACGTATTCACGGCATGTTTCCCGCGAACAAAAGGCAGGTATCAAGGCCCAGCTCTCGTGTATCCTCAAGAATCATACTCTGTTTCACATTCACACAGCCTCAAAATACAAAAAACTATCGGACGAGATCTCAAATATATGTATATACCTGTGAAGCCCATTGTGGGTGTTGTTTTGCGGTCTTTTCAAGAAAACAAAACGTTGTTTGGTGAAACGGCATTCTTCCAGATTGCGACCATTTTTTGGAGTTCGTGGATAGACAAACCAAGGCGGAAAACCGCGGAACAGAGGCGGAAACAAACGGAAAAGGGCGAAAACATCTGATCAGATGAGCAAGGTTGCCTTTCCGACCAAAAATAAACTTACTTCCAAACAAAGGTCTGTTTGCCGAACAACGACCAACATGTGGTGCTTGTTGCTCGAAGGCGTTTCTTTCGCACGCATGGGCTTCGCAGGTATGACGTTGCATTTTCGACAACACAATACCATATAAATACGACTAGGTGCTCACATTTGACCCTCAGGTACGCTTTTGTGAAGGGCATGCAGTAGTGCAGGGATTTTGTACCTCGGAAAAGTACACTCTCCAGGAACTTGGGGAAGACTATCATTCACCACTTGCGGCTTGTTCGCATGAGTCAACATGACGGAGCCTAACTGCATGTACCGAAATAGCCGGAAGTGGGAGAAGAGATCGGGGTTCAGCTTCCTTCTGGTAGTCTGGAGCTTGAGTTGGAGATTCAATTCGGGGTGGTTAGGTTCCCATTTACCGACAAGAACCAGCGGTTCAAATCCTTAGCTCCCAAGCCAGGTATATGGTACTGGAGGAAGCACCCGAATCCGGGCATCCCGAAACTTTTCTTTGAGGGGAGCTGGAAAAGTTGATGGGCTTCCCTGGTAAATGGGGCAAAGCACCAATCTAAACCAGTGGATCTCGTCTATTTCTTACCGCACCTAAAAAGGACACCTATACATATATATATATATGCAATGGCTCCCCAAGTTAAAAACCTACTTGGATGTTCGGCCAAGTTAGTAAGTGGTTGGTCATTTGGGATATAACCCGCTATAGCAGTGTTAACCCCACTAAGAGGGACTAGGATACTGACAACTTCCTAAGTTGGCCGAATACGGTAAGTCGTGCGTTTTCACTCGCCTTACCCCCCAGCATGCCATAGGCAAATTTGCGGACACCTGCGGAAACCCATCGCGGATACGAGGCCCGGTGAAAATGTCGCCAGCTGCACGGATCGCCGTCATCGCCACCCCTTCCAACCTGAGATGGCATTGAAATGGACATGGGTTTGTATGTTTGCTCAATAAATTATTTTAAGCCCTTTTTGTTGATCCCCTAAATAAATGCTTCTTGATGCTCATCCCGTATGTTTGAGTTTGAGGGCATATATCTGTTTTCCTGGCCAGCAACATCAAAAAAAACGCCTTTTCTGAGTCCACTGCATTAGAGCTTAAAAACGGTTGCCCATCAAGAAACCGTGTTGAATCGTTTTGGATTGACAGTGGCTATATATCCTAGTTGTTCCTCTGGGGTGATTTGGGAAGAGTTGGACTGCCGCCGGCACGCAACAGTGCCATGCCTACGTCTCTATGCTGAAACTTCTCATTACCCAGGATCGGCTGATTGATAGGGGGGTCTCTCATTTATGGGCTCCTGCTTTTTTTGCGAAACTGCCCAAATCATGCACCAACATCTCCAGAAAGGTGAAGGTCCCAAGTACCCTTAAAAAGACATGCCCAAATGCTGGAGGATTCTGCAAGTAGACACATCCCAAAGATTCTAGCACAACCCCTGTTGATCTCTCAGAATCAGCAAGTTGAACAAGCAACTTAGAAGTCCAGGACCTGTTGACATAGCCACAAAGGCTCATGTTCTCTACACTTCCCTGCACACCGTCAAACAAACTCTCACTTCAAATCAGCATCCCTCTACTTGGTGCTTTGAGGTGTTCCGGGAGTGGTTGCCCATCCCTCTACCAGGTCCAGGGGTTCATCTCCAAATCCAAGCCACCATGGGGGGGGTGACACAAGGAAAGCCACACATTTTTGGGGTCTCCAAAAACGGACAAGGGGTCTGACAAAAGGAACGCCACACGTGTCTAGGGTCTCCTAAAACACCCAAAAATCCATCCACTTGGCCCACCCAAAACCCGGACGTTGGAGCCCAGGTGCGGGTGCCCAAGCCTCGATGCTCATGAGCGCCTGCGTGGAGGCGGGGAAGGCGAAGAAGGCCCGGCAACGGATTGCCCACTAAGCCACAATAAGTAAAATGTTTCCCAACAACCATGAAAGGGCCAGACAATCCCCCTCCCAACGGAGAAAGCGACTTGGCGGTAGTTTTTGTTGGCCAACTTTAGAGGGAACCTCCGAACTCAAGGGCGCGCTCTTTTTGTTGGTGGGGTGTTCCCCCCTCCAGAACAAAGTTTGGGGGTCTGGGCGCCGATACTTTGGGGTTCAAACGAAAAGCAAAGCTTGGTCGGAAGCAAACGTCGGATTTTCCATCCGATTCCGTCGTTGGTGTGTCCTTGTTTGGGGGCTTAGAGGGGAACCAAGAAGAAAAGTTGAAATTTGGGTCATCCCCTAAGAAAAGACACACATGGAACTGGACAAAGGGCCTTTTAAGATGGTCTGTCTTTCCAAAGCCGGATCGTCCAATTACATGTCCCTGGAATACTACTGAAAGCTTGAAAAGGGCTCTTGTGGGCTTCCACGTTCGTTGGTGGGAGGGTAACTCCAACCAAATGGGGAAACAGGATTAACCAAGATTAAACAGGAATCAACAGGATTCAGGGTCCAAAGAGCAAGAATCGGTGCATGCTACCACTAAGTTGCCTTTGTAGAGTTCACCTATCGACTCCCCCAAAAAGCAAAGGAGAAAACGGCTTGCGTCTTTTTGGAAGTCGGAACATATGAGTCCGTTTTGTCTGTGTAAACATTGTCCTTTCCTCCCTTGGTCTTAGGCATAATGGTTCTGCCGAGGTCCTTAAGAGCGAAACCAAAATCTTTGTGCCGATCTTAACCGGCTCCGTTATCACAATAAGAACTCAAGGGCGAACGAAATTCCTCCAGATAACGTATCTGCCACACCCTGCGGATTTTTTTTAATCACGCGCGTAGCCATACGGTCCAAGATTTCTAAAGAAAGTCCACCGCACTTGGGCCATAATGGCTAAGAAAAACGAAATGTGTTTTCCCAATGCATATATTTAATCATGCTCATAATTGTATTAAATCCGATATTATTAGTTACCGATCGATATAATAAAATAAATTACGCTAGCATAAACCCCAGATAGCAAACAACTGCACAAGCGGCGCCAATCAACTTGGATCTGGAGATACATCCAATGACCCAACCAAAAGTGAGAGCCTGGGTTTCTTCTTGATCAAAGGAAGATTGGGGTCCCCCCTCCCATTCAACGACTAATTTGCCTAGAGCCCTCCTTCCCCTTTCGCCCTCCAAAGATGTTGTCAAGGTCTGAAGGGGCCTTGGGCTCTGGCTAAGAAAGGAGGATAACCCGCATTGAACCTGGAAGAGCCACCGACGGGTTTCCTTCACTTCCCCCTGCATCCCCCCAAAAAAGGAAACACACAAAGAGCGGGTTTCCTTCACTTCCCTCTGCATCCCCCAAAACGAGAAACACACACAAAGAGAGAGAGAGAGAGAGAAAGCATCCGTCGGTCAAAGTGACGCTTCGAACCAAAGCAGGAAAAATCGACGAATTCAGTGCTGGGATCAAGAGCAGGGCTCACTGGGTCCTGGGTTTTGGAGTACACTGGGGAATGACCCACATATTACTCCCCTGCAAATCAACATAAGAGGATCCCTAAAAGGAGTTTCCTCGAAAAAAAAAGAGTTGTTTGGGTTGTGTCGGTTGTGTTGATCGGCAAGGGAGTTTGCAACCTGAGAGTTTCATCCGGAAACGCCCTTGGGCATTCTTCAATCGGGCCCGAGAGGACCAAACATGCACAAAAGGTCAAAGGCTTGGATTCGGACAACTGAGAAGATGGAGCATGGAACCCATGCAATTCCACGGGTTGCCCCCCCCCCCCTCCGGGGGTGGGGATGAAAACTTCAAGGGCTCAAGGGTGTGGAATACACTTTTGGGGGGGAATCCAAAATGAGTGGTTCGAGAACAGGGCTGTGGGAAATGGAATCACTTCTGGGATACAACAAAAAGGGCCTCCCACAGACTAATCACCCATATAATGAGGGGATTCCCTTGTATCACAGAAGTGGGGATAAACCCCTTGATCCCACAACCCAAGCTCTACACATCTCAAGGCCTAAGAAAAGGTATGGCCGGACCTGCCAAGAAAAGGTTGGACAACCGGGTGTCAGAGTGAAGCACCCTCGAAAAATGCTTGGTTGAACTGGGGAGTATTGAGCAGCACCCATTTGAACTGGAAAAATGCCTGGCTTCCTTTGATTCCCCTTCAAAACCAGCCTTAAACCAAGTACCCCCCCCCAAGCGCAAGCCACGCACTCGGACAAGACGAGGTTTCAGGGCACCCGACCTCACGGCTTCCATGGCCGGGCGCAGTGGCATGGCCAGCTTGGGCGCGCCACTTGGAAAAAAACCGAACTCTGAAAGCCTTTTGAAGAACTTTGGCTGCCAAAGAAGCATCTTGTTTTGACTTTGGACTTTCTTTGCGTTCTTTCCTCATTTTCTTCACCTTAAGCACCTTGGCGAAGGGTGCTTTGGCTCACAGCTCTGTCAGGCGCAAGGCTTTTGGGAGACAGTCTCCCAATCTTTCCGAAATTCCCCAGACCGGAATCCGGTGAATGTCCATGGGGAAAAAAGGCACTCCTTTGTTGTTGGTTGACTTCCCCAGAACCCCCTCCAAAACAAAACAAAGCGTCTTTGCCGGTTTGTCTGATGCTCTGGTAGTGAAACCCGGTGTGTGAAGAGAAACACTCCTTGAAACAACTCACCAAAAAGGGTACTCTCGCCGATGCGGCAGGGCCACCTTCTTTGACACTTGGTACTACAGTCCCAAGTATACAAGGCTGAAGCATCCGGGACTACAAACACAACAAAAGCACGCCAATCCTTTCGTGGTTTCCTCCAAAAGCGTAAATAATCGTTGGGTGAGGAAAATTTCTCCAAAGAAGGAATGCCACCGAAGGGTGTTTTCAACCCTTCGCGCTTGCTGGTGCTGTCCCCGGAACCGTTCACCGCGGAACCGATCAGATCCGATTTGGGGAGCCGAAGGAGCCCCGCTGCATCTCTTTTCAAGTGGATCGGCTGATTCCAGGTGCGGTTTCGATGCGAAATTGTGCCCAGTGCTTGAGATTTCCGTAAATGGAAGCAAGTGAGGTCCAGGAACGTTTGATTTACCGACTGAACATTTGGCCCGAAACGAAGGGACGCTACCGAAACGTAATGGTTCGATTTTTTACTCTGGTTTTGATCATCTTGGCAAACTTGGGTTGCTCCTGAAGAATGTTTGTCTACCCCTCCAAGTCCGGTACTCCTCCTACACTGCCCTGTCATAGGTGACACTAAACATTAACCTGTATTATATACTTGTCAACTGAAGTCCGTTTCGAGGATCCCTAGATCACCATCGGGTTGCAAAAAATGAAATATGCATGTCTCATCGTGGGAGTTGCCTTTCCACTCCTGTGCCATTGGAAAGTGTTCATGACTGTTGTCACCAAGTGAAATCCGAACGTGAACCACACCCTGCTTTGTTAGAAGCTTCCGTCCGACAAGCTCAAGGTCAGATCTTGCATGGTAGTTCCAGCGCGTCTGCTAAACTGCCATGACACCGCGCGTCCCGATCCTTCAGCTGCAATCTTTGATTCTTCCCGAATTGGGGGATTCCTCAAAATGGGAACCCCTAACACCGCGAGAGTTCCCCCGTTATTTCTGTGTGGGAAAACTGTAGAAAGAACCAGCCCCCTTTCGGGGGCGCCCTAGGTTTCACCACCTGGGACAAGGCGAAGTCCTTTTCGGAAATTGTCTTGGACCCCCTACGCCAAGCCGCCAGCGCTCCCATTTTCGGCGATGGCCTTGACACAATCGTCGTGAAAAAAAAGTTGCACGCGCCGAGAGACCTGGAACGACGAAACGTCTGCCAAGTTTGACGACCACCAGCTCCAGATCCTTCAGCGGACTTGGACCGGTCAGTAAGTGGCTCGTAACCCCAGATATTGCCACATATAAAGTCTGTAAAGGCACGCAAGGTAAAACCATCTAGCCATTTTCGGATTAAGTTCTCTTAATGGCTTGTGATGAGCAACTGCTAGGTTCTTCACTGAGGGTTACAGTGTTCACCACCTTCGGACGGCCGTGTCGTGCTTCATAGGGCCGCGCCATCAGCCCTTCTCATGCAGAACTTTCACTCTCGCGACCACTCGCGAAGTGAACTTGCCATCCCCTCATTTCTCCTCAGACGGCGCTCTTGAGCTGAGCAGAAAACGAACGGAAAACATCGATCGCTGGATAGGACCCGCCAAACACCAAAAATCCTAGGACCATTTCCCGCCACTTGGCCTGACTCGAACCGCTCGTGACCACGTTGGTGATTGAAACCCAGCAGAAAGATTTCACGTCTGCGGGCTAGAGAGAAGAAAATCAAAATCCAACATGTTTAAAGGTATGCACAAACGCCCAGTGAATTTTCATGGGGAAATCCGCCCCCATCGTTTGGGGATCAACATATGTTAAAGGAAAAACCCTCAGAAAAAAAGGAGTGGGCATCGCTGGTTTAGGTCAAACCAAACAAGATCAATATGAGTTTGATCTTGTGAGACTAGAGGTCCCATTCACGGTTCTTGGACTCCTCTGTGATACCACAGTGGTATTCCTAGCCTATACCCACTACTACTTTGTCGCCAAGGGGATTTACTGACAAGGGAGCCCACTTGTTTCCAAAGACTGATCCCCACTCGCAAGTTGAAGCAATCAAACCGAGTGGCCCGCTTGACACGCCAGATCCCCTGGTCAGAATGAATTGTGTATTGGTCCCTAGGCAACCTTTCGGTCCCTTGAAAGCCATCATCCGGACTCATTTATTCCACTTGGCAGGGATCGCCAAGGAAAGGATCTACATGGGACTGTCTTAAAACCGGGGAACCCTTCAAACAGGAGATGTCCTTTTTGGTTCCCTTTCAAAACAACCTGACAAGGGTACAAAGCCTCAAAAGGAACCACACCCAGCCGAATCCAGACTCTGTCGAGTTCGGATTGCGCGTGCAAGGTCCTCTTTTTGGATGCTTTTAAAGGGAAACCAAGGAAAGTCACCATGATTTATTGGGGGGTCCCGTCAAAAAAACGATACACCCATATGTAGGCTCGGCACATTTATTGTGGTTGGTTTAAAACGGGAATTCAATGAATCGATTTGAGGGTGGCTGCAACCTTCCCCAAACTCACACCCCTGACAGCCTTAAACTGGCAGCAGGGGGTTGGGGTGGACCCTGTGGATAAAATCCTGCGCCACCTATTAAGCGGTGGGTGTGAAGTGGATGTCGGCCAGTCATAGGTGTCCTTTCTGGACAAACAGATCTGGTAGATGAAACAACCAGGTCCACCAAGGTCCTGTATTTCTAACTAACCGAAATAGGACACTTATGGGCACGAAACGCGGAATTTTACGAAGGAACAAAAAGCAAAGCCCAAAATCCCGAGGAAGCTCTTTAAGTTACGATTCGCTTGCTCCAAAACATGTGTGCATTTTCCTCGCAAAGGCCCCCAAAGGGGCCTAAACAAAGGTCATCACCTTTTGTGACCTTGACTATTGGCCACAACTGGAAAGCCAAAGGCGAAAAGGTCGACTAAGTGTATCTTCTCAAGTAACTGGCCAAGTCCAAACTAGGGCGATAGATTTGTTGATATTTGATGCCAGAGTATTGCAGAGCTTGTCATTTGGTTTCGCTTTTAATTCCCGCACACCGTTTCTCAAAACTAGGCACGCAGGTGGGGGACTGTGTGAGAAGGAGAACCCAAATGCAATCAGTTTAGACAAGGGACCCAAACAAACACTTGTCGTCAGCTATATAAGGGAAGCCTAGGTCCAAAACCGATATTCTCCAAAAACCTTCGCATCTTTCTTACCAAGTTGCAGGCTTGGGGCTCTAAAAACATCTCGCATGCTCTCTGAGGCTCTCTGAGGTCCGGACTAAGTGTCTGGCAGGTGAGACTCTGAAAAAGTTCAATGACCCGCTACCCCGGGCAGTTGCGACTCCGAGTCTGCGTTGTTGACCGCTTTGCTCTCTCACGCCGCGAGAATGAGGCCGGGGGTGTGGTTTCCCTCGCCAAATGGGGAGTGGGCGAGTTGCGGTTCTGCATGTTCTGCATTTACTGAACGTACTTCCAGGCGTTTATCCCAGAGCTGTTACCACGATAGTAGGTAACCGGGGATTCTTCCCGTACCTCTCGGTTTTACTGGGTATGATTTCTGTGCAACGCAATGCTGTTTCGCTGTATCTGTTTGCATGTGTTCTTTTGTCATTTGTCTCGTCCTCCTTTCTCCTGACGCTTCAATTGTTCCATTCGGATGCGGAATGTCGTGGGACATAATGTTTTTGGCTGAAACAATCAATCGCGGAACCGCGTTCGATGCCATGATTTCTGTGGCCCATAAGGAACGACAAGCTGTGGGATTTCCAGATGTTGGCTTCGGGTTGTTGCCACAAAACCGATATAGACCCCACAATACATCCACCCAAACCCCACGGACTGAAAAACCATCCGAAACTGATACTCTCGCAATATTGCGGCCGAAGCAACAGATGTCCATCTGCGCCGCTCAAACTGACTGCATCACTCAAAGTGTTTGCTCATGGATGTTCATTTCTGAAGACTTATCCGCTTCCCGAGTGGCATGGAACCCACCAGTCAGCTTCGCTTTCCTGTTCAACCTGAGCCATGAGGAATTCCCTGCCCTTTTTTGCTTTGTGTTTTTTTCCCGCAACTCCGGGTGCAACGCAGTCAACCACATAAATGCAGCCGCCCTGGCTCGCCGGGTCACACAGTTCTGGCCTTGAGATCTGGCAGGGCGCGCGGACTTTCAGTCGTCAGGCATTCCCATGTCCCCATGTGATGGCTCAAAATTCAGCCACCGCTCCGTACCATTTACCAGGGCAACCCATTTTGGGGTTGCCCGATGTTTGACAACAGCCATGTAACCCAAAGAGACAAATTCCTGGCTTCCTGCTGGAAGGGCTTTTTCGATTCCCCCAGCTGACGGCTCACAATAGGATAGCCTTTCAACTCCTCTGACCCCCGCAAAGGGTGAGCTGTTGGCAAGGACCTTCTTTTGTTCCAGGTTTCCCCCCCAGGCTTTCAAGCCAAGATGGTGCGCCCCAATTCTGAGAAAATCCCATATTTCGGTTTTCGGGGTCCATCGACAGATCCGAACGCCCCGCCAGCTGGGCATGTCGCGCGTTACGCCCGCGGCGGGCGAAAAGAACACGTTTTGCCCGCGGCGCGCATTGCGCACCCCGCGCTTGGAACGTTTTCACTCCCCAGGCACTAATTATGTGGGTCTGTCTTTTTTGAGGGATTGGGTTTAGTGGGAAACCAAAGGAACACCGCAATTTTGGGGGGGAGTCCCCTGAAAGAGAAGCCGCCCA